TACTTCATATTTCTTTTTCTTACTTTATTGGGTTATTAAGAACTCTAGTAGCTTGCTGATGGTTATAGTGTTTTGGGGCATTGTCTTCCTTTCCTGAACATTAATAGGAAGGCAGCTAACGTGTCACCACTAAGAATGATGTTGCTGTAGGTATCTGGAAGTTTCTTTCTATGTCTAGTTTTCTTGGAGCATTTAATCAGGAATGACTGTTGAATTTTATTTAATGCTTTTTTTGGCACTCACTGAAATAATCAAGGCCTTTTCTCTTTTAAATCTTTTAAGTCATATTTTATGCAAACTTAACAGAGTACCAAACAAAATAAAATCTCACTTTATGCACAAATCATACATAGTAGAAATTTTCTCCAATTAAAAAAACTATCAAAATTACACAATTTCAAGGCCCAGCAAGCAGAATAAATTGGAATTATTCTATTGTTACATGGTAGTGACAATTCAGTGGTTAATAATCTCTGTTCTTTATCAATATCCCATAAACAATTGGGCTTCAATGGTTCATTCAGGGATGGTAGTAAGTCTTCACAGTTATTTCAATACTCCCTATCATTTAAATCTGTTTTTTTTCTTTTAAAAAACTTTATTTCCACTTGTAGTAAAATACACATAATGTAAAACTTACCATTTTCACTATTTTAAAGTGTACAGTTCAGTAGTGTTAGGTATAATCACACTGTCGTTTAAATTTTTTCTATTCTATTCTATGTCATTCAGTTCCTCATTAAGTGTGACATTAGTTTTGAGGTGACCCTCAAGTCTTTACTTATGGAGTAGAATAGGTTAATGGGCTAAAATGCGTGGAAAAAGATCAAACAACTGCCATGATGTAGGAGTTGTTCATTTAGAAAGGAGCGCATTCTGGCAGACATTAGAGTCAATGCTGAGTAAATTTAAAAACATCAGTAAAATAGAATTGTTTCTAAATTTGGAAAAAGAAAAGAAAAGCCATGTAACCAAGGAAGGATAAGAGAAGAACAAGCAGAAGAAACTCTGTTGACATGGCTACAAGATCATTGAGACTGTGTTAAGTCCCTCAGCTAAAATGGCTATATATCCGTGTGCTTGGAGACCTCACCCCAGCTAATTGATTTATTCCTGGGGGTAAATTCTTGAAATAGGTGAGTTTTGGATTACACAAATCTCTGAGAATAGCTTCTTTGCCAAAAAAAAAAATCAACTGCATTCTACTTTACTCTGGATTTTTGCATCCTTAGTTATGAATAATGTTGACTAGGATCCCAGTGTTTTTTCCTAAGACTATAAGACATATGAGCAAGCATGTGCTTCTAAACAAACACACAGTCCTACTAGAAATACTGTTTAACTCATGGTGTGTAGGTAACTAAATAAAACTTTTCTTTTAAAACTACATTTTAAAACTTTAATATAAATGCTGGCGTTTCGGCCAAAGCCCACAGTATTTCTCTTCTCCCTCTGTGGTAGCAACCAGCTGCTCACAGTCTTTCGTATAAAAACCATCAGGAACCTGAAGAGTGTTCTAACCCTCATTCTCATCTAAGCTGAGTTCTCTCACCTTTCTCATAAGTCTGACAACTATTTTATTAGTGTGGCAACTCCCTTTTAAAGCATCTCCAAGTTTTTCACATCTTTCCTGAGTCTCCGAGCTTAAAAATAACAGCTGCGGAGAGGGAAAAGAATAATTACAGGCCACCTTCAAAGTTGGATACTTCTTCCTCCAGGAAACCAGAACTGATGATGATGCTAAGGACCCTCACCTCGGCCCACACTCAGGGAAGAGGTGGCAGAAGCTGCTCATCGACTCACACGTACAGTCTTCTAATTAGAATGCGTAGTGGTGTAGGCTAGCATCACACAGGCCTATCAGTTGTAAAGTCTTTTCTACTGTTTACTTAGAATGGTTATTGTTTTTCAGCTTATAAAAATAAGGCCAAAGTCATAAATAAATAATCTCAGTCAGTGACTTTCCACTTATGATAGGCTATTCAGGGATAAAAAGAAAGACATTTCTCTCATTAGCAGAGGTAAAACACTTGGGATTATATATTCCCTCCTTAAAAAAACAATGCCTGCTTGTTCTCATAAGCAAAGAAAGCTTTCTGTTTAATCTTTAAATTTGGGCTTTAAATTATAGGGAGGAAAAAAAAACCTAGCAAAAGAAAATGAATGAAAAATACTGTGCCAGCCTTGATCTGGGAAAGTTGGTATATTGTTTCAAAATAAACAATAATGACAAGAACACTAGCTTCAAATTGAATATCTAATAGGAAGCAAGATAGATGTATTTAAAACAGCATGATGTAGTATCAAATATCCACAATAATGCCCCAAATATCCTTTTTAATAATGAACTTTTAGAACATAGGTTGCATTGGAATATTTTAGTGCAAGGCTTGAGGAAGATTTCCAAGATCCTGTTTGAGCTGTCTTTTTTTTTTTTTTCCCCAGAACATGTTTTTGAAAGTGAGGGACTTTAAAAACAAGTCACTACTCTGCAGGCCTCATCAAACTTCCTTGTACCTCCTTCACTGAGACTAGGGAAGGAAAATACTTACCACACTAAAGAAAGCCAGACCATTGGGAAGTATGTCAATATCTTCAGAGCCAGCTTCTGTTAAGTTCGAGAAATAGATAAATGTCACGTTCAAATTCTGTGATTTGCTGGGTAGAGCTTTGTTTACTTTATCAGTGTCTGTATCTTTTGGAATGCTTTGGATTTTTTTTTCAAGGAACCACTCTCTTTAATAAACGTCAGTCTAAATCCCTTCCTGCAGTGAACTTCTGACTTTAAATGTTAGATATTTTATGTTTACTCAAATCAAAGTCAAGTAATCACCACATTTCCAGCTATAACACAGGAAAAGTTGACATCTGTACACTCTTATGATAAATATCCAGATGTCTGTACAAAAGTAATTGACATCAGGGGAATATTACTTTCAGAATGAAGGGCTTATAGTCACTTAACCATGCAAATATCTTTGTCCCTTTCTCGGCTCATTCAATTTGAAACAAACGCAGACATTTCTCTCATTAACAGAGGTAAAACACCTGGGATTATATATTTCCTCCTTAAAAAAATAATGCCTGCTTGTTCTCATAAGCAAAGGAAGCTTTCTGTTTAATCTTTAAATTTAGGCTTTAAATTACAGGAAAAAAAAAACCTAGCAAAAGAAAATGAATGAAAAATACTGTGCACCTAAGCCAGTTGAAGCTTCAAACATGGTCTCTGAGACAGGCTACAATTACTATTGATTGTTTATTGATTGTCTGCAGTACACTCAACACAACACAGCAAATAATTAGACATAAGATCTTCCCAGTGGTCTCACTGTGTAAATTCCACAGACAGATAATAGACCCAACGTAAGAAAAGAGGAATAAAAATGGCTTAGATTAAGCCAAATCATGACGCATTCTTTGAGTCCACAAAATCCAATCTTCCCCTTTAAGTCTTCTCCAAAGGATTTCTCCAAGATTATTTCTAGGTTGTCAAAAACAAATAGCATCTATCCAGCTATTTAGGTTTTGATTCACAAGTTTGTATTTGGCTGGTTGCCTCCAGTGTAGCCAGCTCTGTCATAATGGAGAAAAGCAAAAGCAAACAAAAGCCAAGAAGTTCACTTTGTAATGCCATCTGCCTGTTCCTCAACAAGAAGAGATATGCAATCTTAAGCATAGTATGGTGGAGGAGCTCTTAACCTGGGGTCTGTGGATCCCCAAGGAGCCACAAGTGGGTTTCAAAGAGCCTATGAACCCTCTGAAATTCTATGCAATGCAAAATATCTTCTCTATGTACAGATAAGAAATTTTCTGTGAGAAGGGTTTTTGGCTTTCAGCGGATTCAAAAATGGATCTGTGATACCCTAAAAGAGTTAAGAACCACTAGACTTTAGTCCCATGGTGGTTCTCAACTGGTAAAGAGCAAGGTCCAAGGAACCCTGTACCACATATATATATACACAAACACAACACACAAACACACATATACATGTGCACACAGAATTCTAGTCCAAGTTTTGCTTTCTGGATCCATTTAGTAGGAGCTCAATTAATTAAAATTTATTGTTTCTGAAAAATTATTTAAGACAATTTAATTTCATTGTGTATGCACTTACATAGGAAAAGAAAAAGATACATAGAATAAAACAGTTTCTTTGGGTGGTAGGATTATGACTGATTTTCATTTTCTTCTTAATACTTTACTTTGTTTTAAAATTTTCTACAAATAATGTTGTTTTAATAATCAAGAAAAGAATGATGTTTTTAAAAGATATTTCATTGCAATTACATTATAACTTCTTTCTGTTTAATCCCATTGCCTAATTCTAATGGAAAAAATAGTCATATCTTAGCTTTCTTTAGAATATTTTTCAGATCTACTCCCCCACCTTCATTTCTATAGCATTACTACATTAGGCTTTTAACATCTCATAAGACCTCTTTGGTGTGATTACTACAAGAGTAGTCAAAGCTGGAGAAATTTTTTTCTCCTCTAATTCAATAATAGAAATAGTAGTAGTATTAGTGATAACAATAATAGTTACTAGCATATATTAAGTGTTTACCAAGTACCAGGCTCCTTGTAAGTACTTTATATATGTTAATTCATATAATTTTCATAACCCTGAGAAGCAATATTATTATCTTTTATTTTAGAGTAGAGAATATGGAGCCTTTAAAAGATTAGGTAAATTGTTCAAGGTCACAGACTGGGAAGCTGGGACTCAAGTCTTTTGTTCTGACTTAAAAGCACACAGAAAAAATACAACCTAACATTTAATGAATTTTCTTTGTCAGAACTATCCCCTGGTTCCTCTCGGAAGACACTTTTCTTTGTAAATCCAACTGTGGTCAATTCCATATGTTGGCTTTCCCCCTAAAACTTTTGCTTCCATACCTCTCACCAAGATCTTTTCTTTAAAATCTGTTTCAAACTGTCTTTCTCGAGAAAGTCTTCTAGCTCAGCACAATTTGATTCTGATCTCTTCTTATTCCTTCAGCAATTATCTGTGTCAGAGATGGCCAATGGCTCTCCAGGATCCGGACCCCGCCTCCTTCCCTTTCAACTGCAGGTACGTAGCAGTATTTCCTACCCTTTCTTGCTGAGAGATGTGGCCATTTGTCTGAGTTCAGGTTAATGGGATGTGAGAGTACAAGATGGATGCAATCACTGAGTAAAATAAAGGGAAAATCATATCCATGTAGATTTTCTTTCTACCCCTTCCTGCTGGGAAATGGCAACAACTGGAGTTTAGTCTTGGACCAAGATGGAAGCAGTATGTTGATGATAGCTGTGTTGCTTCATCAGCCTTTGCTCCAGAATGACCACATGAAGCAGAGCCACCTAATCACCCTGGGCCATTTGCTTGTCTTTGGACTGTCACATAAAAGAAAATACTTTTCTCTCTCCTCTAAGTTCCTTACTGTGACTTTATGACAGAAGATCAGTCCTTGCCATACCCAACAGACTATCCAAAATGCACCTGTCATTCTCCACTTTTTTGTTTCTTTAGTCAGGTATGTGTGTTAATCACTCTGGGAGAAGATACTATATTGAAATTTTTTTTCAAAAGTTATTTAACATTTCTGAGCCTTGGGTCATTATCTGCTATTTAAAAACAGAAAGATAAAAATATGTCTATATCTCACATAGTGGGTTTTCTGTTTTCCTTCTCATGGGTAGATTATAAAGGACTTGATGACAAGGGCTACAAACTGTAATGCTTTTTAAAAACTCTCTCAAGCAGCAGTTATTATAAATATCTTGATTGCCACAAATATAAAACCATATATTAACTAAAGAGAAAATAATCCATTCAAAATTTTGTTTTAGTCCAGGACTCTGAATACCAGCATTTTCAAAGACATTAAGCAAATGTTTTACACTTTTAAGCCTCAAGTAGAGTTAACAAGCTCTTTAGTTATCATTTTTGTTATTGAGATGTTGATATTATAGCAAATCTTGGTTCCTGTCTGTAAGATACAGTGGGCAAGAGTATAAAAAATGGAATAAATAGAGCTTACTTTCTGACCCCCAGAAGGCACACATCCTGAATGATATATAGTAGATGATTATTTATTAAGACAGAAAGATACCAGATGATATATATAAAGCACCTAAGAAATACATAGAGTTCATTTCCTGGTGAATGTAGCCTTGGGGTGGGTGTGTGTGTGTGCGTATGTATGTGTGTGTGCGCGCATTGACGGGGATGGAGAGGAAAGGGGATGTAGTCTTACCTCTTGGAGGGATTAGTTGGCCTCAAGTGCATGGGTGTTACTGTTTCTAAAGTTGAAACTGGAAAACAGAACCCTCCTACTCTTGCTGCCTACCATGAGAAGTTGCTTTTGCCTATATGGGAAAAGCATATGCCCCATACACTGATATTCCTTTGTAGTCAAAGACCACTGAATAAGCAACTGCTGTTAAAAACATAAAACCACAAGCTATTATTAGCCATTATGCATCACTGATATAGCATTCAACAAATGTTCATATAGTGTATGCTATCCACAGAGCAAAAGCAAAGAAGAAAGAAAAAAAAAGCACAATTCTAATTAGATCTAAAAATGTATCCCAAATGGGCTTCTAATCACTCATCGTCTTCGCTCTGTTGCCTTTTGAAGTGCCTCAGAGGCATTAAACACTTCACAAGAGAGGCCATAGGTGACATATTTCCTCATTCTTCCCAATTCTAGACAGCAGCTCACACACATCACAACATAAAGGTCGCAAACACAGACAGATGCCTGTTCAGAATACAAATGTTGTTGGACTTGTTTTTCTCCGAGGAGCCCTCTATCCCAGTGAGTTGTAACAGCAATACGGTTGGCAGTTTGTCCTGTAATGTGTCTGGCAGTGCCCTATTGTCTACTCTGAGATTTGAATTCACACAAGGTGGGCTTCACAGGACCAAGGACTGTTTAATAATTTGACAATTAACTCAGTAGCAAAAGTAGCCTTTGAGATCACTGACTCAGCCTCCCAATTTGTACCACGTCCCTCACAGATGCCATCTGGCTTGTGCTTGAGTGACTGGTTCCTAGGGGGCTCTTTGTGTTTGCAGCCAGAAGGCAGGAGGCAGTTGCTGAGTTTCTTGGGACTCCAGACAACCTAAACTCTAGAACTGTCTGCATTAGCTAGCATGGATAATCTGGTCAATCTGGACAATTTGGTACTTGACACTGAGTTTGTATCTTCCTGCTAAGTGTCTGGGCAACTGAAACTAAGTGAGGACACCCCAGGAGAGAGAAGTCAGGGAGTCCGGTGAAGGGGGACAGGACTGGGAGAAAGCACAAAAGCAGCAATGGAAAGAGAAGACGAGAACACAGAGGAGACAGATGTGTGGAGAGAGAGAGGTGAGTAACAGAACCAGAAAGAAGCTCTGATGTAAAAAAGGCTGCTCTGAAAACTGATAGGTTCCAGGAAAATGAAGTCTTCTTGTAGGTGATCCAGAAAAGGCCCACTACTTTGTTTTTGCTAAAAGAGCACTGTGAACTGGAGTGAGTGTGGTTTCAAATATAAGCTGTTGTGTTTATTAGTGTTGACAACTCAAGGGCAACTTAGCAGTGACTATCAAAACTTTAAACATATGTGCTAACTGAACAACAATCCCACTGTTAAAGATTTATCCTTCAGATAAATAAAGGCAGAGCTCTATGTACGATGACGTTCAGTGATTTGCTTGGAGTTGCAAAAACTGCAACCACTCAAATGTGCATTAAGAAGGAACTGGTAAAATAATCATGGTATGTGCAAATATTTAAAAGAATGAAGTAGATCTACATGTGCTGGTGTGGAAAGGGGTTTGCACTGCATTCAGAATAAAGCAGGTTGCAGAATATAATCTTATACTAAGATGCCATTTGTGAAAAATGTAGATAGAAATGTATGTGCATATATTTGTTTGCATTTGCACTGGAAATATCAGAAAGGATAAAAAAAGAAACTCTATCTCTAGAGTTATTTTTGTTGGGGATGGAAATTTTGTTGGGAGATTTTAATTTTCCATTTTATAACTTCTCTTCCTTCTGACTTACCTTCACCAGCTGATTGCTGGGGTAATGGAACACAGAATTCACTGGCCACACATGACAAAGAATACAGACTTGACAAAAATAGTTCAGCAAAGTCACTAAACAAACAACAAATCTAACAATAAACATAGGATTGTACAAATAATTAATAAATCAGTGAGAGTAAGAAAGAAGAAGAAATACAGGGTGCATGAAATCAAAAGATACTGACTGAAAATGTTTTTTGCTGATATAATGTGATTTTTTCCCTCCAATAAACTGTAATTGTGTGCCAAAGTAGCGCTAAGGGGTTTTTCAGCATTGGTGGTCAAACAACCGAAGGTGTATAATGAGCATTTTCTCAGACTTACCAATTCCTTTAATCAGGTGGCAGTTTGGAAGATCTACGGATTCTACTTCTCTGGAGGCTTTAAGTCGATTCCTGTTTAAAAAAAAAAATCTATCTGTTTATGTATTCCCTGCTTTGTAGCAGAAAGGGTTTAAAGAGGCTTACAGCAATACATAAAACACAGCATAAATCTAAAGCAGATAAAAGAGAGAAGATGGAAAAGCAAGGATAGGAACATAAAATAGCACCAGAAAGTTAAAATAAAAATGCATATCACAAAGTTTTATATGTGGACATGGGTCCTAAAAGGAAGCCAATAACTCAGAAAATACAACGTGGAATGCAAGTTCCTAGGCAAATGTACACATGGCACCAGGTCCCATTTCACAGCTCTTGTGTTGTGGGAAGAGTTTCAGATGTAGAACCAGAGCCCTGTCTTCCTTTTCAGGACCCAGAGGAGCTGAAAAATGCTCAGAGCTTCAGCAGAATGACATGGTGACTGAAAGGAGGCTAAGAGAACATGGCAAAGTTCAGAGCCCAGCTCACAGAAGACACCCCATAAAAAGTTATTAAGAAATCAGTGGAGAAGGTCCCATCCCCATCACTATTTATTGGGGTAAGAAGGCTGGAGAGCAACAACTACTCTAGCAAAACTACTTGCTGTTGCTGTCTCAAAAAAATGAAAGTGAAGAAATAATGAGAAAATGCTGAACTCTAATAAATCATCTTCCCATCTCCTTCCCACCCTGGAGTAGAGGGCCACCAAGCAAGGTGGGCAAACACATCTGGGTTCTGTTGTTCTGAAGGCTCTCCGTCCTCTCATTGTCTCACCTTCTCTTTCTGTTCTCTACATCCATAAATTATGACAGTTGTGCTTGCGGGGTAGTTTACATTTTTCGAAGTGGTTCACACATACCACATATTTAAGAGACAAAATGACAGTTTGCCACTTGGCCCTCTCCTATACATATCCTTGCCAGCTTCTGACTTCTAGATACTGAATATGGGGAGGGCTACTGGTTTCTCTGCAAAATGGAAGAAGCCTAGGCCTAGATTACCCAGAATTACCAACAGGTGGTGGCAACTATATATTTTGGCAATTCGTACGTATATATGAAAGTTTCTAATTAAAGTGTTAGTCATTATGTATTTGGAATCATATAAATCAAAGTGTTATATTTCTTGAAATGATAAAGGAATAAAGCAATAAAACAAAAACAAATGAATAAATATATAGATATAAAATATCTATATAGATATCTAGGTTAAAATATCTACATAAATATATAAACATAAATATATAAACTATATAGATATAATAGAAAATTAAAAATTAAAATTAAAAACAAAGCAATAAAAAATACAATAAATCTTACATCTATGAGTCCTTAGAGTGATTTAAAGGGAAAAACAAGTAAAATTAGCCTAACATAAGTCAGATCAGTAATACTAGAGATGAGGATGCTGCTGCTGATACTCATGGGTGGTGAAAGGAAACCAATAATAAGAAGAACTAAAATTGTTGAGCCTGCACTGTACTATGTGATTTACCTGAATGAATTCATCTAATTATTAGAACAACTCTAAGAAGTGGGTATCGTTCTCGCTATTTGAGAGATGAGGAAAACGACTCTCCTGAAGTCCAGCACACGGCTAGGAAGTCCCACTCTGTCATTGACTGACATTGTATGATTTTAGAAACAGATGTAAATTTAAGTCAGTAGGTCACAGCTACGTTTCATCAACTTTCTGTATCATGTGTTGGTTTGGGTGTCAGTTCCATTCAGCTTACTATGATGCCCATTTGGCAAAACAAAGTAGGTGTAATGAGGACTACCATCTATCTTTTTCAAAGGTAAACTGTATGGATGAAATAAAGTTCAGGTGTGTTTGAACACTTTGATATGGAGTGTTTTTCAGAGTCAACTTAGGTTTGCATCAATGACTGATGATTACACTTTGTTAATAGAGCAATCTTCATCAGCTAGTTTAGTTGCACAGTATCATCTCTAGATATGCAGACTGCCTACTATTAAAACTGAAGAGGAACACAAGGACTGTGCATAACTTTCAGTTAATCAAATCATTTTTTCTTGTCTTTCCTTTATGATAAAAGAAAGAGGATTTTGCTTCTGTCCTTTATGGCCCATCAAGACTTTCAAAGTCTTTTGTTAGAAAACTACCAGGCTTTTTGCCTGGCAGAGCTATCAGTTCTCCACTCATTAGCAGACTTCTGTGTTCCAGAGTGGCAGACCCTATTAGCTAACAAACCTCAAGCCATTCTCATCCCTTTCATTCTTACTCCTTTCCACTGCAGAGATGGGCAAGCCAAATATCTGCTTCCAGCCTCCTCTGTATTTAAGGGGTAATCATATGACCCAGCCTTTTGGGAAAGATAAATTTATTCCTGATAGAAAAGGCAGACACAAGAAGAGAGCTAACTGGCATCACTCCTCCCTTCTTCATGATTTTTTTAAATTGAAGTATAGCTGGTTTACAATGTTGTGTTAATTTCTGGTGAACAGCATATTGATTCAGTTATACAAATATATATTCTTCATCATTTTAGGTTATTACAAGATTGAATATAGTTTCCTGTGCTAAACAGTAGGACCTTGTTGTTCACCTATTTTATATATAGTAGTTAGTATCTGCAAATCCTAAACTCCTAATTTATCCCTTCCCACAACACCTTTCCCCTCTAGTAGCCATAAGTTTATTTTCTGTCTGTGAGTCTGTCTCTGTTTTGTAAATAAGTTCATTTCTGCCATTTTTTTAGATTCCACATATAAGTGATATCATATGGTATGTCTTTCTCTGTCTGACTCCACTTAGTGTGATAATCTCTAGGTCCATCCATGTTGCTGCTAAGGGCATTATTTTATTCTTTTTTATGGCTGAGTAATATT